TCGAAATATTTACCGTTTTTGAGTTATAAAGCAAAAACTTTCAAGGTCCCTAGATCCCTAATCATAGGGACCAGCTCCTTTTGAATAGTATTATATGAAAGCCCTTACAATTATGCACAACTTTTGTTCAACATGTCTTAACAAAATATTTTTAGTTTTCAAAATAAAAAGGAAAATATGTGTAAATTTTCGCTCTTTCAGGCATTCTAATTTTTGACCCCTATATAGCGCCATTTTGAATACAGAAATCGAAAAACAAAAACCAATGTGCACAACTTCAATCCTTCTGTTATCTAAAACCAGTAAAATTTCTGCTCCAGCTTTAGTGGTCTCTGAGCCTTTGTCTGGAAATGAAAGCCTATAATTTTTCGTTTAAAGGGAAATAACTCATAACCGGAAGTAAATTTTTGAAATTTTAGACAACATTCTGATAGAATTTATTACCGTCTATAATGTCTGAAAATTTGAGCAAAATCCATTTAGGAATGAGTGAGATATGAGGCCTCAAAGTTGGCGTCTAGGAAGAAAACAAAAAAAAGAATAATAAGAATAATCTTAATCATCAGAATCAGTAGAAGGTCTTCCGTTGGAAACGGAAGACCTTAATAAATGATAATTACATATTTGGCATTTGAGAGTAACAATGTTATCACCCCTCCCCATTTTTTCTTTCCACAACACCGCTATATATTACACTGAGGACTTGAAATAATGATGTGAAATCTGAAGTATAATGTTATTAAAAATTAAATGCACAAAATGTTGAATGATAATTCAACCCCAGCCCCCTATAACCCACCCCACCCACACCCAGATACAAAGAACCAGTCATCTAAAAAAGTATTTAAATTCAGGCATTTTGAAAAATGACTGAGTCCAAAGTAGGTACATTTTATGCAAACTGGAAAATATTTAAGTTCAACATAGGTACATTTCTGGCACACTGAAAAATGACAAAGTTCATAGTAGGTAAGATGGAAAATATCTAAGTTCAAAATAGGTACATGCTAGGCACACTGAAAAATAACAAAGTTTAAAATAGGCACATTTCAGGCACACTGTAAAATGACAAAGTCCAAATTAGGTACATTTTAGGTACACTGAAAAATGACAAAGTCTAAAGTAGGCACATTTCAGGCACATTGTAAAATGGCAAAGTCCAAATTAGGTACATTTTAGGTACACTAGAAAAAAATTAAGTTCATTTTTGGTACAGAATAGGTATGCCTTTTCTGTACCTATAATAGTAGGTACACATTAGGCACAGAAAAGGCACAAAAAAGGTATGCCTATATGTACCTTTTTTTTGTATGGGTTACTACCTTGAACACCATGATAATTAAACCCCCACAAAAGTTAGGGATTTCACAGTATTGTACAGTTTATAGAAACACATTATTATATAATTTGCATTATAATCTACAAAACGTTTTCACTAATGTTAATGTTAATAATCATAAATAATTATTAAGATAATGTGTTCTGATGTTAATGATATGATGAAGATTAACATTGCTTTTTTTAAAAAAAAAAAATGACCCTCATTTTAACCCAAATGCACTCGATACTACAATTATTCAAATTTTTATATTCTTCTAGGATCTTCATTTCAAGACAAAAAAAAATGTAATAAAAGTTGACTTTAAAAATGTAAAAAGTGACGGAGTGGATGAATATTTATAAATGTACCAATGAACTTATTTATTGTTGTAACATTTACATTCTTTCCTGGAAATTAATAAGCATAAATTTATAGAGGACAAAATGATTTAACTCCCCTCTCTTTAAATTTACAGACAGTCCATGTTCGGGAAATTCTCTGAATAATCATGGTTCAACATCATCAGGTAAGTTTTGTAAGCTAAAGATTATTGTCCCTCACTTTCACTGAAAGTGGATGATATTAATTTAGGTCAGTTAAAAATTTCTCACCATCCATATAGCTGTCTGTCTAGTTGTTCGTAACTTGATTCAAGACATTCTATCAAGAAGCCTTAGACCTCTTACAATGAAATTCTATTGCCACTATTCCCTTTGGTTTAAAAACACCCCATCAGTTTGAAGGTCAAAAGGTCAAAGGTAAAGTTCATAAAGCCATACATTCTGTCTCTGTGTTAACACTTTGTTTCCAGGCGATATCTGAAGCCTTTGAACTTTTGCAGTGAAAATTTTTTTATATTACAGCTTGCAATGCATGGCCAAACAGACACCCCTTTTAATTTTGAGGTCAAAATGTAAAAGCTGGTCAAGATAAAAAAACATCATACTAAAAACTTTTTCCAGATGATGAAGTTTAGTTTTCTTTGAGCTTTCTTTATAAAATTTAATTTACAACTCTGGCCTTATGAAGGCCCTTGTTGATTTTGAAGTAAAATGCTGAAATGTAGAGGACATTGATTCAAATTGTATATAACTAGTTGTCCTTCATTTGCATCTGTGTATATAGTATTAAATTTTGTTCTACAGCCAACTGAGTGGTTGTCTGAATCCTAAAAGTCTTGTTAAATATACAAAACAACAGCAGTAAAAAGCACAGAGTTTCTCCAATATTTGCTTTAATATGGGTTTCATTTATTTGTATACATGTATTAATATGTAGGGAAGATAAATTAGAACCACAAACGATAGTATTGTTCTCCCACCTACCTCTAAGTCAATTCTCAAAAATTAGCATATTCGAATGATTTTCAAAATTGTTATAGATCTATATATATATATATATATATATATATATGAGTTTTCATAAAACGTTACTTGGGATACCAAAGGGAGATCACTCTATAATTTTGGTAAAACTTGTGTTTTTCACTATAGAAATCAACAGAAAACGGAAAATATTTTTAAAACATCTTTCCCCCCCCCTTCCCCCCGTGTAACAAAAATTCCTTTTTACAGATAATATGGACCGTCATTTAACAAATTTATGCCAAAGCTTTTTGTGTTTCACAGGGGGTGGGGGGGGGGGGGAGAGCATATGTTTATATGCAAAATACGAAAAAATACTGATTTTTCACCAATTTTAAAGCTATTCCCAACAAAATAATTGTATTTTATTACATGTACTTCATATATGTTTTATTTATTTGCGTAAAAGAAAAGATATGAGATAAAGAATCTGGGTGGATAAGGCGAGTCGTATGCCTACGCAGGGGCAGGTAAAATATCGATTAAAAAAATTCTTGCAAATTCCTTTTTTTGTTTAATTTGGGAGTTATTTATAACCATATGCATAGAGTAAAAATAAAACCTGAATCAAATCACTTACAAAGTGTTTGTAATTAACCATCCAAAATGGTAACTCGCTTAATTAAGTTACCATAAAAATGATAGAAATTGAATGTTAAAACTGTGTTTTTTATATAGAGTGGGTCTTCGTACCATTTTTTTGTAAACAAATATTGAAAGGGTATTTTCAAATAAATGGTACGAAGACCCACTCTATATAAAATGGTTAGTTTTCCTACTTAAATTTCGCAACATATTCTCAAAAACTCCAAGTCCAAATGTGCGTTTGCTAATAACATATAGAACTAATTGATATTTAAAGGGCAATGTATGTGCAACTTCGTGGCTCAGTGGTCATAGCGGCGGTGTTGAAACGCCCAGTTATTTGTCGCGAGTGTTCAAATCACGTTTTTTTTCTCAAGTTCAGGTTGATATTTTTTTTTTCACTAAAAACAGAATGAAAAGATAAGATGATGAATTTATTCACTGTCAATTAATACATTTCCTTTAATTAATAAGTTTTCAAGCTACATGTGTAAATATTATTTTGTACGCATTCAGTTCAAGACTACATTACATGATTGAAATGTATAAACAGTCGTGGGTAGACCAGCGCGATATGGCTGTTCTTATATGCAAAAACAGTTAAAAGGAAAGGTAAAGCGTACTACCTCCCAAACCCTGAAAACATAAAATTATTTTATAGATCAACTTACATGAAATATGAAAAGCATCAAGTTAAAAATACTGTAACGATAACGGCAAGGTTTAAAAAATAGATATTGTCATTTGGACAGCGCTGTACAAAGTTTAAATGTTTAAATAAATCGTACATCTGTGAAATTTCTGAAATGCTTACAGAGCGACAAAATCTGTGTGGGCATATGACTCGCCTTATCCCCCAGATTCTTTTATCATATTTAAGACTATTTCAAAATATGGTGATTCTTGAAAGTTAGATTTCACTAGAAAATATTGTCTACACCCTTTTTTCAAGAGCTGGAATTAATGATAATTTACAATCTAGTGCTGGAATTAAAATGATTAATCAATAACCATAGAACTGTTCTTTGTATTAAACAAAGATTTAATGGCCAAATTGCCATTAATATTGAATTTAATGGGTGCAAAATGTAGGCGGGATTCAAAAGAAAGAGTTCGTAGTTCTTTGTCTCTGGTGAGCATCGATTCGTTTGCCCATGGACAGTGGGTTTCATTTAAAGTTAGAGGTGCTATGGTTTCCTTATATGTAAAAACAGCATTTTCTATACACAGTAAGATTAAACCATGTTATAATCAAAGACAAAATATCATTTTAGTTCGAGTGAAGAGGATCCTTAAACCAGATGGAAAAAGACCCTACAATAAAGCATTATCATGCTATTACTGTGGTAAAGTTTTGCGTCACAGAATAAAAAAACATCTGGAGAAAAAACATGGAAATGAAAGACATGTAGCAGAGGCATTGTCAAAAAACTCAAAACAAGAACAGAAGAAACACCTGGACAAGTTAAAAAATTTAGGAAATTTCAAGTACAATTTAAAGGTTTTAAATGAAGGAAAAGGTTCCTTAATAGTAGGTCGAAGGCCAAGCAAAGAAAGTCATGTGGCAAAAGACTACCTGCCATGCGTATACTGTTTCGGCTTTTTCTTCAAAAAAGAATTATGGCGACATGCAAGAAGTTGCCTTTGGAATGATGCCAGTCATCAAGATGGAATCATTGCCAGGTCCAAATTGCTTCTTGCTGGAAGCTTGGAACCAACGCCATCAAATGACAACATTCCAGTAGAAATTAAAGACACAATACTTACAAAAATGAGGCACGACGATATCTATGATGCTGTTGTGAGTGACAAATTGATCCTCCAGTTTGGGAAAGTCCTCATTAATCAGTTGGGGCCAAGAAGAACTCACAATATCTCACAGAGAATGAGGCAGTTAGCAAGATTAAAAATACAGTTAAATCAAAATGAGGGTAATACAAGCAAAGAATTGGAAAATTACATCTCCCCCCAGTCTTTTGACTTGATTGTGGATGCTGTTAAGCAACTTGCCGGTTTTGACAGAAATGAACAGCAGATTTCGATCTTCAATATCCCATCATTAGCAATAACCATCGGCCACAATCTTGTTAAAGCTGCAGAAATTCTACGAGGAGTAGCTTTGAGGACAAATGATGAATTGGTTAAGAAAGGTGCAGATGACTTTCTTCAACTGCATTCTGGTGAATGGACAACATCAATATCCTCCATTGCCCTGGCATCATTGAGGACCAACAAATTTAATAAGCCTTCTGTCCTGCCAATTACCAGTGACTTAGTAAAACTCAAACTTCATCTGGACACAGAAATCGAAAAGATGATCAAAGAGGTGGAGATGAGTCCAGATATGACTGCATGGAGGACTTTGGCAGAGGTAACCTTAGTCCGAGTTATTCTATTCAATAAAAGACGAGGCAGTGAGGTATCAAAGCTTTTGAAAGTCACCTATGAAAGTAGACCAAATTGGAAACAAAGCATTAATGAAGAAGTCTATGGAGTGCTGAAACCTGTAGAAAAAGAGCTACTGAAAAGGTAATTTATTTTAATTATTTTGGAGTTTCAGTTAAGGGGGCTGACAATTATAGTTTTCATAATGTGCAATATTTCCGCATCATAGTAAAATGAATCGTATTTACTGTTTTAATGGAACTTTTTTTTCTTAATTATTAAAATTTAACAAAATTGAGAAATTATAGGCATAAGAATGTTATAAAATTTAATATAACCGAATTTTTAACCAATTCTGCAATTGATAGGTAGGTTGACGTTGTTGCAGTTTGTTTTTGACGTTATGATATTCTGTACCTCTTAAAGAAAGGGGTAATAAAAATATCATTAAATAAATAATAAAAAGAAAAAGTAATAAACATACGCTCTTGAAATTTAAAACAGAAGTTTGAGAATACCTCTAATATTTTTATCATGTTTTCATGTGAATCAGTTGTGTACTTCAGATTTTGTAGTACTCTGTAAAAATAGTGAAATTTGCTAAATTTTTGCATTTTGAGATGCCCCCTCTGGTAAAGACGGTAGAATTTTGTGTGTCTTACATATATTGTAAAATATAGTATTACTCGTCAAATATTATAGTTTGAACAAAATGTATATTGTAGCATTTGTATAATTTGCTTTAAAGTGCTAAAAATGGGCATTTTCCTATATAATCGTAAAGTAAATGTACCAGTATTTTGAGACGGTCCCTCAAAAATACCTGGGAGGTAGATTTCACCCAAACTTTGCATGTACTTTGAAGATAATGTAAGCTTTATATGGTACAAAAATGAAGAGTTTCGATATTGTAGTTTTCACACAATAAAACTATAGTTGGCCCGGCCTTATAGCGTACATAGCGTACAGTTATGGAAAGGGTACGAGGGAAATAGCAAATTTATGGTAACCCGATATGGGAAACTATTTCCCCTAGGCGGCGAAGTAGGTAAACTTTTTTTTCACCCAAACCTTGCATTTACTTTGAAGATAATATAAGCTTTATATGGTACAAAAATAAAGAGTTTCGATATTGTACAGACCCTAAACCGTGCTACTACACCACTGGAACGGTACGGTTCGGTACGCTTTGAGCACGGAACGGTACGCTTTGTGCACGGTACGGTTCGTTTTGAGGACGGTACGTTTCGTTTCTTGCACGGAACGGTTCGCTTTGTGGACGGTACGGTACGCTTTGAGAACGGAACGGTTCGCTTTGTGCACGGAACGGTACGCTTTGTGGACGGTACGTTTCGTTTCTTGCACGGAACGGTTCGTTTTGTGGACGGTACGCTTTGGGAAACGGTATGCAAATGAAGTGGGCGGAGCCTGTCAGCTTTGGTCCCCGATTGGCTGGGATACTTTAGTTCATTTTAAATGACTTTTGGAGTACTTACATGTAATGCACGTATATAACAATTTTCCGTTATTAAAGAATGTAATTTAGTTATTGTTTATATAAATTTAAGTATCAATGAGTTAATTTCTATTTATTACGGAAGTTCAAATATTGTATTACGTGTACATGTATGTAATTGTGTTTACTTAGTCATGTATGCTATGTCTCGGTTTCAGTTGAAAAGTTAATTTACGCTGCAGTACAGGTCGAGGATAAACTGAAAAACATCGTCCCATTGATCTTTTTAGCAACATAAAAATTTCAGTACGCGTATATTTTACGTAGGCTGGGGCTAATTATAAAAAAGAAAATATATAAATATATGTATATGTTATTTTTTCTCTTTGAAAAAAAAAGCCGCACTATAATTTTAAAAAGGAATATATATATACTTGATCTATATAATTTTATAGCACTAACCGCGTATATAAATTATTTTTAATTGATTGATCTATTACAGAAGAACAACATGACTAATCGTACTTTTAATTTTAGTGATAAGAAAATTAATAGATATCGTTTCTCTATTCTAAAATTGTATATTTATCATTTATTCTTTTGCTTCAGAGGAGAAATATCAGTAAATTATTTTTTTTTCTTTTAGAAATATCAGTAAATTATTTTTTTTCTTTTATACGTGTATTTTAATGCATGTACTGTACATACTAGTATTCTGTCTTCATTAGTGTGCCAAATTAACGTATTATCGACAAAATTAATACACTGTATTAAAAAATGATTTTATATATTTATCTATCTATCTATCTATTCATTCATTCATTCATTTTTATCTATCTGTCTGTCTTTTTATTCTTAAATAAACGATTAAAAATTTATTTGTTATGTAAGCATGTACCGGCACGTGGCTATATACAACACAAACTTGTTGACCAGCTAAAACCCTCTCTCCTCACCCCCCCCCCTACACAAAACAGTGACAGGGGTAGTGGTATGGCTTCGAAGGAGTACCCGATTTGGTGTACATGTAACACAAAAGTCCAGTGCCAAGTTGACCCCCTCTCCCAAAAAAGATAATAGATTGGGCTAAAGGTGTTCAGTTGGTTGGCCGATATAAAGCCGTCGTTTAATTACTTCACAACCACTCCAGCTGTTTCTGCAGTAGAAGAATCTGTAAGTACGTAAGTTTAAAATGCGAACACAGTACCTTATTTTCATGTTGGTATACATTGAACATTGCATAATATTATGTAATTCAGAGTACGGTTTTTAGTCTATAGTGCTTGAGGTATCGGTTTGTACAAATAATTAAAAAAGAGAACTGCCAAATCTTGAGTGCTTCAAATTATCCCTTATACTATTAGTAGTCATTTTATCGTTAACAAATCCCTTTACACAATCCATATTTTAAATTTTTTTTATGTTGTTTCAGTTTGTATTTCTATACGCTATTGAAATAAAAAATTATGAGTGATTTAGGTCCGTAACTGGGGGGGGGGGGGGAGGGGCTAACCCCCCTTCCTAGACCCCCATGGTTCCGACGCCTATGCATTAAGTCTCTGATAAATTAAAATGTTATAATACAATTCATATGAACGTACTGATTAGGAAAAAACAGATATATTATATTTTCTGTACAAAAATAACTAAAATATTCAAAATATTGCTACAAATTTGTAGCGTTATGGTTTTATATATTTGTCCTTTACTATACCGTAACGCTATAGATCCCTAAACCTTCCCCCCCCCCCCCCCCTTAACATTTACTTTACACAATTGTAAATTCAAGTTCATTGAAAGGCTGGTTTCATCATCTCCACCTTTAATATCTTACAGTCAAATCAGGGTAATCTGGTAATGTATGAATAAAATTCGGTTTTGAAAGATATGTAATCAAATTGATAGTAGGTATACCTCCCATCAAGCTCTGAAATAGAATTTTATTTGAGTTTGGACAATTACCCACTCTTTCTATCTTGTCGCTTTTTTCTACACTCACTACTGTGTTGAATTTGTTAGCTCCTCCCCAGCGTACAAAAATGATACCAAGTACCCGGGAAAAGATTCGTGAACAAATAAACTTAAAATTAAATTAGTTTACGTAATGAACTTAGTATAATCGTGTGGATTATTTAGATAAATGTTCCATTTTTATACCAAGAAATTTGAATTAGCATACATAGTACATGTATTATGCGATCTATAATCTATAAACCAATGCGTTATCGTGCGAATAATTTTCGGGTTTAAATTGTCTCCAAAATACATCCCATTTTATGCATTTATTAAGTGGTTATAAACAGAAAACTATTTATCCTACTATCTTTAGAATCAGTAATCTGAAACATATTTAATTTTCAAGAAAGAAACTTTTTGTTTTCCTGAATGAGTGATGAGTTATAAACATGAGACTCAAATAAAGCCACGAAAAAATGATTTTTTATAGACTTTCTTTCCTTCTCTTTGTTCTCCTTTTCTTCTTTTTTTTTTTACCCCGGTTTATGTCTATGGTATTTTATTTATCTGTAATATTATAACAGTCTGTTGCCGTTAAAATTCAATGAGATGGGTTTTGCTTTACGTGTTTATCTTTGTGTTTTTTTTTTTCTGAAAAGAAACAATGTCTATAAGGCAAGTGATGAAAGGTTTTTTTTTTTAAGATAAATTCTTCCTTCAAAAAGTTGAAGCGAATTGGCAAAATTTGATTGCAAAAGCTAAAATACTCTTAAATTACCAGTAAGTTTAATTACATTATAAAAAATTGTTCTAGTATTTAAAAATATGACAATTTTTAAAAAAAAAAACAATTGCAATTTATTCAATACATGTATAATGTGCTGTCCGACTTTAAATTCTTCCCTGTCCGACTTTAAATGACCGAGAATGTAAAGTTGGATAGTTTAATTTTAATAGTTTACTTAATAAATATCCACAAAAAATTATTATTATGGGAATAAGTAATATTATTCATTTAAAAGTTTGATTTAATTACAAAATGTATAGGCTATTACGGAGTACCGACGGCAAACTGAAGATTTCTCCAGAGATAACTAACTTAAAGGTCATTGCCGACAGGTGCGCGCTCGGTGCGCATGCGAAAATTATCCGGATCCATGAGATGCGTATGTATCCTCTTAATTTTATACATTATTTAAAACTTTTTCACGACTATGTTTGCATGAAACAACCAGAAACATCCTGTAGACGGAGATACTGAAAGAAAAATACACATGACACTAAATTTAGAAACGATTTTATTCTGAAAGAGAAGAGTGTCCAACATTCGATGCTGTCCGACTTTAGCTGTTCCTCCCCTACTCATAACAGATTAAATACATAGAACAATTTAGTTTGTTGGTGTAAAATGGTTTGTCCATTTGATGATTGTAAACTAACATAGAATGAGTGGGTAAACTAACGTACATCATACGCCCCCCCCCCCCCCAAAAAAAAAAATACATGCACAAGACAAAGGGATTTACATATTTTCATTTCAACATTTAAGCTTAAAAATGATTCTTTAGTTCGTTACCATTTCTCCCATGTATCTGTTCATGGATCACAAACGACGATTAAATAATTATCTTTTTTTGCGTACAACTATATTAAATCCCATGTTTAATGTCCAAAGCAAATTTTTTCGCTAGCAGAAATTAGTAAAAATAGAAAATAACTATTTAAAAAGCTCAACAAAATTGGAAAATTATAATTTTGGGTAACATATTACACATGATATCTCATCCGAATGAATAAGAAAATTACGTATCACAAACACAACCCGTTGATTTGTAGCGAAAAAGGAATCGTCTTACACTCTGTCTAGTTGTTTTAAAGTTGTAGTTTGCTTCGAGTAGTTTCGTTTTTTTTACAGATGAAAGCCCAGATGCGTGGTACTTGATTATGGTGTTTCGAACAGCCAGGAACAACCTACGTCCTCCCTTAACGGCGCCATAGCGAGAAATAAACCAAAATGACTTATTTGGTCATTGCACGGTTCGAAAATCATTGGGGGCGTGGTTTGCATAATTAAGCAAAGGACGGTACGGTTCGTTTCTTGCACGGAACGGTACGCTTTGAGGACGGTACGGTACGCTTTGTGCACGGTACGGTTCGTTTTGAGGACGGTACGTTTCGTTTCTCGCACGGAACGGTTCGCTTTGTGGACGGTACGGTACGCTTTGAGAACGGAACGGTACGCTTTGTGCACGGAACGGTTCGCTTTGTTCACGGTACGGTACGCTTTGTGCACGGAACGGTACGGTTCGTTTCTGAGGTGTAGTAGCACGTTTTAGGGTCTGTAGTTTTCAAACAATAAAACTATAGTCGGCTCGGCCTTATAGCATACAGTTATGGGAAGGGTACGAGGGAAATAGCAAATTTATGGTAACCCGAGGGAGGAAACTATTTCCCCGAGGTGGCGAAGTAGGTAACCTTTTTTTCTCATTTCAGGGGGGGGGGGGGTAGGTAAACTTTTCAAGTACTTTTAGTACCAATTCTAACACATTGTACTACATTTTCAGTACATCACTAAAAGTCTACAAGTGTGGGGCCAACCAGGCTTTCAATTAACATTTCCTATAATTATGACTAAGATTGGGAAAAAAAGTGGGGGGCCCCCCCCCCCCCCCCCCCGTTGCTACGCCCCTGGAATGTGAAAAGCAAATATTTCATTGTTGTATACATTGGAAACATTGACAGTACGTGAGCACACCTCAGAGGTGATTGTTTTTGGACCAAGGAATAGTCACGTGAAATTGACTTTTCATTGAAATCACAGCAAGGGGAAAGCTGTCAACAAAAGGACTTGTACAATGGAGTGGAGAAAACTCTAATTTTTTATCATTGTAAATCATTTGTATATAAATGTGAGCATGGCATTAGTAGATAATGATGTTATATAACATTGTATTTAGTGTGTAAAATTACTTAACATGTGAATTTATTCTGACGTCACAGAAAATAGCTTTCTCGACCTGTATGATGCATAAATATTTTTACCAATTTAATTTTTTTTTAAAAGTTTTTTTGTTTGTTGACTATGAAATAAAATTTGTATCATTAGAATTATAAAATGCATTTATTATTACAGGTTGCAGCTGGTAGAAACTCAAGGCAAAAGAAACAACAAAAGCCCAATTCTGTTGACAGAAAAAATGGTCCAAGCATTGGACATTCTCTCGGGGGAAAAGTTCAGAGAAGCATGTGGGGTCTTGAAGTCAAATCCCTACATTTTTGCCAGCCAAAATAGCTTGGAGAACATCAATTCATGGCAAGCCATGAATAAACAGGCAAAGCTAGCAGGATGTCAACAGCCTGAGCTTATTTCATCAAGCCGGTTAAGGAAATACATTGCCACCATCTCACAGTTGCTGCACATGGAAGATCATGAGCTAGAATGGCTCTCCAGGCATCTAGCTCATGATATTAACACCCACAAAAGCCATTACAGGCAGCATGATGCAGCTATTGAAATAGCTAAAGTGGGAAGTCTGGTATTGGCAGCAGATGAGGGACAGCTTAGTAGGTTTGCGGGGAAAAAGCTGTCAGAAATAGATGTTTCAGGTATGAAAATATAACACAAAATCAGTTCTTATTATTATTATGCCCCTCCAGGAATATGGCAGGGGCATATACTGTTTGTCATGTCCTTTTTCAGTCCTTTCATCCTTCCATTTTTCCTGTGCTTCCATCTTTCAGTCTAGCTGTCCTTCCGTCTGTTCTTCCGTCATACTTTGCGTTTAGCTCTGTTCAAAGCTCAATTTCAAAGAAACTATCCAGGATATTTTTGTCAAACATCATAGGCTGATAGACATTGATGAGAGCAATTCAACTGTATCAACATTTTTGACCTTGACCTTTCATTTGACCTTGACCTTTAAATTGTGTTTAAGTCAGTTTTAAGGAAATCATTCAAGATTTTTATTTATCAAACTTTATATTTTGAAACATATATATGACAGATATGCACTGTATCAACATTTTTTACCTTTGCTTTGACCTTGACCTAACATTACTAAATTATTGTTAAACTTCATATGCTGATACATATTAATGTAAGTTTTTCAACTGTATCAAGATGTATGACCTTGACCTTTCATTTGACTTTGACCTCACTTTATCAAATTGGTGTAATTCAGTTTTAAAGAAATCATTTATAATAATTTTTCAACTTCATATGCTGATACATACTGATGAGAGCTTTTCAACTGCATCAACATTTTTTGACCTTGGCAATTTTTACCTTGACCTCACTTTAAATAAATTAGTGTCAAACTTCATATGCTGATACATACTGATTTAAGCAATTCAATGCAGCACTATTCAAGATATTCTGATCAAATATCATTATACTTTTACAAATTTTCATATATATATATATATTGATATATATTATAATATATATATTGAAAATCTTTATTTTCAAAAAAAAATTTAAAAACATTCCATTAAAAAAAAATCATTGAAATCTTTACTTGATAATGCCCTTTTCTACAAAAAATGTTCGATTAAAAAGCATTTAAATCTTTTCGTAAAAATACCCTTTTCTGATATACTTTTCAGAGTTCCTTCTTCCTGACCTAGGAAAATACAAGGCTGTTGATGACAGGGATATTCTTGATATTGAGCTAAATGGTAATAGTTTTTAAGATAATTGTATTCTATTTTTTAGAACAGCATGTATTGTCGTGATAAGTCATACTCATTTGCAAGTGTTTGAGATAACCAAGTTTGAATGTAAAACATTACATATGCATTTTCTCACTTTGAGCCTTTTTGTCTTAAATTCAGATAATAAGCCATGTTTGACAATTAAAGTGTCTTTAATAAGGTTCTTCACTTGTGAAAGTGATCGAAGCATATTATTTAAAGTTGTTAATAGCTCAGCTTAGTAATTAGAAAATGATAATTTAAAGTTAACCTTTAAAATAAAAAGTCTGAACTTTTTCATGCTGTTTAAAATGTTAAGTTACATATTGATAGTCAGATGACAAAAACACCTTTGAACTCATACATAATTTGGTGTGCTTAATTATATTTACAGCTGGAGTGACAGCTGAGGAAACTGTGAGTGGACCTGATGAGTGTCAAGAGGATTATGTTCAGTGCAGGTAACCATTGTATTCAATTCTTATATTATTGCACAATGTTTGAATGTCCAATTCAGTTTATGTTTGGATTGAGATAACAGTGTATTTGAAAAAGGTAGTCCTGCAAGGTGGAGCATATTATACTGCACAGGTACATACTACGTGGTGTAAAATACAGATGTAGAAAGCCTTGCCAAAAAGTGATCAAGGGCACTGGAAAGTTAAAATGATAATGTCCTACGGACCCGGTTTAACGATAGAATTCGTTCCGTGTATTCGTATTGTAGCAGAAAGAAACACGGGCAATAACTCGCATAGTGCATTTACTTGGAACAATCTAGAGAGTTCCGAATGTAAGAGCCGGTAATTTGAATCGAGAGAAAAACGTTGAGAAAATTAATTGGATTTTTTTATTTATATGGATTATTTTTTGGGATAAAAGGCATAAGCAATCTCAAAAAGGTTTGTTTTAATTATTTTGGTAGTTATTCCCAGTGCAAATCATTTTATATTCTTCAAAATCGTTTCGGAGCGGATCCGCTCCAATTTGTTACATTACAAGTACATGGGACCTATTCTGACTGTGGTGAGGGCCTGTACCGAGACACAATTAGATTATTCTAACTATTGGATCCCCAGCTAAATAAATTTAATGAATTTCTTTTATGCTTATAACTAATTATGGATATAGCGAAGTAATTTCATAGGTCCCTGTGACTTCGTTATAACCGAGTTTTGCTGTACTGGTTTTGGTGAAAGAAGGGAGGGAGGCTCTTATAATTAAATGGATACTCATGCATAGTTGCCAACCTCTAGCATGTAAAAATCTGGTCATGACCAGATTATCATTTGGAATGAAAAAAAAAAAAATCTGGTCATAACGCGTAACGACATTCACGTCATACCGTATAAGTAGAATTTTTAGCGAGCATTTAATTTTGGCATTATTAGCAAGGGTGTCGAATTCGCTTAAATTGAATATCGCTAAAAATTAATTGCGTTTTATTGTTAATAGTTTCTTTAATATGCATTTTAAGATCGTTAGAATAACATCTCGCTAAAAATAAATTACCAGTTTTTAAGGGCAAATTGCTAAATTTGCGTATCTCTAAAATTTCCACTTATACGGTATTTACCATGGTTAAACTTTATACATATATTTTGACAAAGTATTTGTGTATTGAAAATTCTTTGATTGAAAAAGGCTTTAATTTACAATGACAAAAATTCGTACATAATTTGATTAATAAATTAACATGTTAAAAAAGAGAATTGAAGGTTTCATATTTCAGTATTGACCTGAAGTAGGACTAAGTGTAATTTTTTTTTAAAGCGTTTTCAGTCTCTGATAAATTTGAAAATATAATTATACGTCTAATTTCAGTTTTGAAGTCATTTTTTCCTCTCTCTTAATTAACTATTGCAATATGTATTTAATGTGAAGTTAGGCCTACACAGTTGTCTTCAATCACTTTATTTTATGTTGAATGATTATTTTTCAAAATGTTCAAGAGTCCTTGATATGTACATATTGTTTCTTAATTCTTGGTTCAATCAGAGACATGTGTTTGGTTCAATTCGTTCCTGCTGGCCCTGAAAACGATCTAGTTATATCGGAAGCCATTTTAATTGATCTCAAACATGTCAAATATTGATTTGTCAAAACAACACCCAGTTAATTGTTTACACCTGCACTGATAATTAATCCATCGGCATTGTTTACATTGGTTTACGTAGATTTAAGCTTGGGTTGTAACTGGAAGTTAAAAGTGCAACCTAATTTATGAACCAAATCCGGAAATCGGGAGATTTGCGGGTTGTTCGGCGAAGATCGGGTAAAAAGCATGACCCGCCGGGTTATTAAAAATAATCGTGACATTCGGGTAACGGGTTGAAAAATCGGGTGTGACACGACGAAATCGGGTGAGTTGGCAACTATGCATATTCCATTTAGTACTGGGTATTTTTCTGTGGAACATATACGCAGATCTGTCGGGGGTCAGGACCCCCTTGGAATTTGCAATGTCATTGAAATTATATACTAGTACTAAAAAAAGAAAAAGTAACCTAGTAGCCCTCTTTGAAAAATTCCCCACCCCCTGGGAAACACGAAATTGTGATAAATTGGTTTGAAAAGTCAAACGTTTGAAGCATTTGAAGTCGTTAATCTCTGTTGAAATTCTGCTGGGCGTCAGTCCAAATATCTAGCCCAGCAGAATCTCAACAGAGATTATTGAAGTCGTCAACCCTTATAAGAATTTAAAAAAAAATTATTCATTACTTTGGATGACAGGGGCTGACAAATAGATTTTTAAGGCACTTGTCCAAGAGCAAGTACATGGTAAAAATTGACTTGCCCTACCTGAATGTTTGCTTTCCCTACCATGTAAACTAATTCTGTATTATACCATGTATACACACCTGAGAACTATTGACCAATATCCCTTACATGTGTGAGCTGTAAGATCATGGAACATATTGTAACAAGTCATATTATGAATCATGCAGAGAAAAAATAACATCTTATATCCACTCCAGCATGGATTCAGAAGTAGAAGCTCATGCGAAACCCAACTGTTGGAATGTGTGGACGATCTATCTAGGAATTTGGAAAATGGAAAGCAAACAAATCTGATGATCCTAGATTTTTCTAAAGCTTTCGATAAAGTTTTCCACAGTCTACTTCTCCATAAACTACATCGTTATGGTATCACAGGAAACACACATCGTTTGATCAAAGCTTTCCTTTCAAATAGGACCAAAGTAGTAGTGGTCGAAGGGGAAGAGTCCGACATCGGAAGGGTTAAGTCTGGAGTGCCCCTGGGATCAGTACTAGGACCTAGCCTTTTCCTACTCTACATCAATGTCACTTACCGGACCACCTAACCTCCACAGTACGTCTCTTCGCTGACAATACCATATAGTAAACTTAACTATTTCAACAAATTCAGATTGTCATATCCTTCATGAAGACCTAAATAACCTTGCTCTTTGGGAAAAAAATGGAAAATGAAATTTCACCCAGATAAATGTACGTACAGTACTCACAGTTTCGAAAAAGAAAAATCCTATTATCTTCAACTACACCCTTCATAATCATGTACTTCCTCATGAAGAGTCCACAAAATACCTAGGCTGTACTATAACATCTGATCTGAATTGGGGACTACATATTTCAAATATCTGTAAGAAGGCAAATAGAACCTTAGGATACCTACAAAGAAATCTTTATATATCCTCTAGGTCGATAAAAGAAATAGCTTATACATCTTTGGTTAGACTGCAGCTAGAATATGCTTCAACAATCAACAGTTTGGGACCCATACCAACAGGGCCAGATAGATATGTTGGAAAAGGTGCAAAGAAGAGCGGCAAGATACATAATGGGCAATTATAGCGAGCGCAGCGAGCGTCGCGAAGCCCAGGGGCAAGTGGTTGATAAAATTTCACTTGCCCACCCTTAAAATTCACAAGCCCCGGGCGTCGGGCAATGGACTTTGTCATCCCCTGGATGATAAAAATAATTATAATTTATTTTAAAGCTAATATGACATCATGAAACCCCAAGTTTCTTTGCGACATAAAGTGTTATACAATTATAGCCTTTTGATGAGGTCAATCCCTCGATATATAGACCTTAGAGAAAGCATATCGACCGAGCACGAAGTGCGAGGTCGATATGCTTTCTCTAAGGTCTATATATCGAGGGATTGTACCGAATCAAAATGCTACAATTGTTTTATTATTTGTTATTAGTTAATAAGAAATGTCTTAAAATCCTTCTTTCTAATACTCAGTACCTTCTCATACAAGGCATTGTTATGTCATTCGCATTATGTCGTCACAGTAATGAAAACCACCTGCAATATCTGTTTTTAGAAACATCCAGTCTATAAAGACTATTGTGATGTCAGCACTATTGTTGCTTCACAGAAGAACGTTTCCAATTTTAGAAACAGCAGGTTTATAAATTTTTAAAATAGAAACATCCAGTCCATAACACTTTATATACTTAATCATGTGATCACGTTTGAGCCAATCAGACAGTTGGAACAATAAAGAAAAATAATAATAGATAATATTAAAGTATTAACATGGAAGACAAGTAACCTAGCTTCTGACACTTTCATAATTTGGACAGTGACACAACATATTTTATTCACATGGATTGTTATATTTCTTAATGGGAATTAACTCTTGCATATTAACACAGTAAAATTTACTTTTCTCCTTTTAGGTCAAACTCTAAAGAAAAAAAACGAAAGCAAAGTACAGATGGTAAGTTAATATTTTAGGCTTTTTACATGTGTATAATCTTTACTGTTGACTTTTGTTTATATGTCAGTACCATTACTATGCTAGCTGAAAATACACATTCTATTTCCCCTAATGATGGATATTTCCCTGCAAATAAGCAGAGCTAATCCTTGGCATTAATATTTCAACCAATAATTTTCTTTTTGGAAAGGGGGGGGGTGTTCAAGAATCAATCAGATGCTGGACTGTCACAATATCCTAAGTGCCAAATTTCCTGAAACAGTCAGTTTGCCACGGAAGACTACAGAAATTATGGCTTAAAAATAGTAAATGCATGTCTATTGCTTGTTAATTATACATCAATACTTTACTAAAGGTGCATCAATACGAATTTGAAGTTAATATTTGCTGTATAATATCACGTCTTATATATTTTAATAGCATTTCACACAAAAATATATTAAAAATTTTATTTCATCTTACAAGGGTTGGGCCACAAAGCCCGATCAAAGTTTTACATAGTAATCTTCAAAAATCTTCTAATCAAAATTCATAGGGACATGAAAGATGAAACCAATGTTGAATCATCCTCAGGTAGTGTACATTCAAGTTTGTTCAAATTATGACCCGGGGGGAGGGGGGGCACAATGGCTGTGATCAAAATTTTATAAAGGAAAAAATAGGAAAACTCTTTAAAAATTTTCTCAAGATCCATAGGAACAGGAAAGATGACACTCATGTTGAATCATCCTCAGGTAGTGTACATTTAAATTTGTTCTAATCATGACCCCCTGGGATAGGATCAGGCCACACTGGCCGATCAAAGTTTTACATAGGAATATATTGGGAAATCTTTAAAAGTTTTCATCTCAAATACTACAAAGCCATGATAAGTGATATTTTAATGGAAGCATCCTCATGTACTGTAGATTCTAGTTTGTTCTAATCTTGACCCCTAGGGATAGGGTGGGGCTACAATGGAGAATCCACGCTTTATATTAAAATATATTTTAAAAAATCAGCAAAGTCTTGAGTAGTGATATTTATATGGAAGCATCCTCAGGTAGTGTAGAATTCAATTTGTTCAAATCATAACTTCCAAGTGTAAGGGAGGTCCCAAATGGTGGATTAAAGTTTTACAAAGGAAAATAAGGAAAAAATCTCAATTATAACAGAAAAGCTATGTTAAGTCACATTGACCTGTAAGCATCCTCATGTTTTGAATATTAAAATTTGTTCAAATCAAAAGTACCCTTAAGGGTAGGGAGGGAAACAATGGGGAGTCAAATTGAAATTATTACAAATATATACAAATGTTAAAAAAAAACTATAAAAATATTTTCTGAAGAACTTTCTCAAGAAGTTATATGCAGAATTGATATGGAAGCATTCTCAAGTTGAATAGAACCTAGCCGCCCTCCCCAACCACCTCAGTAAACTTTTCAATTCTGATCTGATTTGTGTGTTTTCTTAGCCGATTCGCTCAGGTGAGTGATGTGGCCCCTGGGCCTTTTGTTATAGAAGCACCTACAGGTAGTGTAGATTCATATTTGTTGAAATTTTGGATGGGTATGGTGGTTCCACAGTAAGGAATCTGAGAATTTTATGTAGGGAAAAAATCTTTGAAATTTTCTTCTTAGGAACAGCAAAATGAGCAAAGCCATGATTAGTAATATTAATTTTGAAGCTTACTCATACCCCCCCCCCCCCTTTCCATAACTTTTTAATGCTGAACTGATTTCTACCTTTTCGTAGCCAATGTGTTCAGGTAAGCAATGTGACCCATGGGCCAAATTAATTCCACACATGGACAATAACATAAACAATAAATCTGACTCGTTAAAAAGATGTGTCCTAATTATTTTTTTAATTTGTGGAAAAGTAGGAAGAAGTCGCTACTTTTAGGAGATTTGAATACCTCAAGTGTTTGTTTGGTTCACCTTTTATGCAAGTTATCCCCAATTTCAAACTGATGCCCTGGCATACCCAACAAAGCAGAAAGTGATTCCTTATAGTTTCATTCATATGTGAAATAAAATTGTAAACATAAATAGAGAAATACTGTGTAATTGATTCAAAATTCACTAAGCCTCACAAGTCAATTTCAATAGACATGCTCACTGACGTCAAACACAAATGCAGATGGCATGGTTGATATGCATATAAGGCTCTTGACCATTTTACCTTGGAAATAAGCATTCTGGTTGAACTAACATGAAGTTAACTCACATTATTTTCCATGGGTTATCACAGAGAAAACATATAAGTCTCTTGACCATTTTACCTTGGAAATAAGCATTCTGGTTGAACTAACATGAAGTTAACTCACATTATTTTCCATGGGTTATCACAGAGAAAACTATTTTTAAAAAATGGGAATATTATACACCTATTTACTGGCTTTGAGGACAATAGCAAGTTTATCGTCCCCCAAGACAGCAAACTATTTCCCGAGGCGCAGCCGAGGGAAATAGTTTGCTGTCGAGGGGGACGATAAACTTGCTATTGTCCGAATAGTCAGTAAATAGGTGTTTTATTATACTGATGCTGACTTAACTTTTGTGAGTCCAGGGTACACACAATTATGATATTCCATATTATACCGGTTCTGACTTAACTTTTGTTACGTCATAATATATACGCGTCACAATCCATGTAAAATCAGAAGTTTTTCAGAGATGAAAAGCGAGGGAAATCGAATGCTGCCGTTGAATAGTTTGAGGACTATTCACCATGGGCAAATAGCACAAAAACTATTTCACGGTAGAGACTGTGTAGAAAAAATAGCATGTTTATTCGTCTTATTTTTATATAGAAAAAATAAACAGAGGTATAATAATAATAGATATACAATGGACTGCATGTACCTGTAGATGGATATTTATAAGGTTGTGACTATCTGATTTTTAAAAAAAAAGTTTCACAAAAGTTATTTGATTACATTTCTACAGAAACAGTGTCAAGCAGCAGCAATAAAAAGCAGAAGCTTGCTACAGACAATCAGCAGAAAGTTTTGGAGAGGTAAATATAACTGCTATTCAGAAATGACAAGTAATGTTAGTCTCAGTTGTGTCAGACTTCTCTTTTACACTCTTCAAAACAAGGTGACAGTGTGACATGACCTGACGAGATTTGTCTTGAAGTTGACCATACAATAACCGTAATACAGAACACTCTTTTTGGGTGTTTCTAATGCAAATGAGTGTAAACTGTACTTTACCTGCAAAATATCAATGATACAGTATACACCTATTTACTGGCTATGAGGACAATAGCAAGTTTATCGTTCCCCAAGACAGCGAACTATTTCCCGAGGCGCAGCCGAGGGAAATGGTTTGCTGTCGAGGGGGACGATAAACTTGCTATTGTCTGAATAGTCAGTAAATAGGTGTTTTATTATACTGATGCTGACTTAACTTTTGTAAACTTTTGGGAGTCCAGGGTACACACAATTATGATATTCCATATTATGCCGCTGCTGACTTAACTTTTGTTACGTCATAATATATACGCATCACAATCCATGTAAAATCAGAAGTTTTTCAGAGATGAAAAGCGAGGGAAATTGAATGCTGCCGTTGAATAGTTTGAGGACTATTCACCATGGGCAAATAGCACAAAAACTATTTCACGGTAGAGACTGTTTAGAAAAAATAGCATGTTTATTTGTCTTATTTTTATATAGAAAAAATTAACAGAGGTATAATAATAATGTTTATTTTCAGAGATGAAGGAAAAGTGATTTTGTATCTTTTATGATATAGACATAAGAATCATTCAAATTTCATGATAGTGCTGTTTAAATTTATTCAAATTTGAAATGAATGGAGAATACATATTTACAACGTTAAGCTACCAGTGGCGGGTTCAAAAATTTTGGAAAGGAGGGAGTTGAGGCACAAATGATTTTCTTTTTAAAAAATGTCCATACTGGAAAATCCGGAATATGTTAGAAACATACCAGTGTTTTTGTACTCCAGATCAAATTAATTATTTAAAACAACAAGGTAGGTGAGGTCATTAGTTTTGATCAGAATTCAGTATAACTTGTCACATAAACATGATAAAAAACACCATTTATTAAAATGTAACCGCTTTTTTTGCCCTCTTCGAAGAAGGAAGGGCATATTGCTTTGCTGTGTCTTTCGGTCGGTCTGTCAGTCCAGCATCAGTTTCCGCTCATTTTCTTTGCAGAGGGTTCACATATTCAAATTAAAGTATATATGATAAGAGCCAAGTTTGGCCCCCTAAAAATGAACAATTTAGAATGACATTCAGATATGTTTAATTGATATTTATTTTGTAGAAGAGATTATATTAGAAATATTTCAAATATATATTATTTACATTCATATGCACTCACTAGCTCTAAATATCATGAGAAATAATGCTATTTTTGCTATCTAACAAAAAAGCCAAAAATATGCCTTTTTCTTGATGTTTTTTCGTATGGGAAACATAGAGCGCAGTGTAGAACACACATAATTTTTCTTTCACTGTTCTGGAACTTAGAAAAATTCCAATTTTGGGGGGGAGGGGGGGAGGGCATAAGTGTTCTTGTTTATATTAAGTTCAAAAAGTTAATATAGTTGAATCTGTTAATATAGTTGACATTTACCTGCATTGTTTTTACTTTTTATTTAAGATTACGAAAATTAGAGGGGAGACGGCAGAAAGAAAAAAGTGGACTAAACAAGGCTTCTGAGACTTCTGATCCATTTGGTAAATATTATACAAAAAATTATGTTCAAGACCTGACAAAATGAATCATTACTATAACAGTGTTTAAAGCTTAAATTATGAGATCTTCACTGGACTACTGTTTCTTGTAAATGGAAATAGTCATCCATTGAAATTTTCTTTTTCACTGAAATCATATTGACAAAATTTTCAGTTTTTTTAGAGGTATGGTAGCTCACTACATAAAGTTTGTTTTAATTGATTTATTTATTAATTATTGTTATAATTATTTTTACACTGTTTCCTACTCCACCATCTCTTAACCATTTTTCATTAAATGAGGCAAAAAGATTTTATTAAAATATGTATGGATACTACACCTATTCAATGTGAATTGGTTAATTTTGAATTAGTGGAATATAAAAGCAAGACTATTTTAAGTAATTTATAAGCTTTTCAATGTCTTGACTTCATTCATTTAAACTTGCCTGAGAATGGGAAGGGGGGGGGTGTTATGAAACAGGTCCAGTACAATCAGTACATTTAGCTACATGTTCATAGGTAGAATCATGTACCGTAATTTTATTTACGTATCTCAGGTAGCTTTATTTGGTTTACATCAATACAATTTTGCTTCATATTTAATAAAGACAAAAAATCTTAAGAATATGCCTGTTGATATTTAAACAATAGGGATGTTTAAAAAATGTAATCAAAAGCAGTAATAGTTTATATAACATTGCTGCTTTTGAGTACTTTTAAGCAAAAGATGTATTTCTATTTGTTTGATTACTTGTAACTATCTGCCACCTTGTGTGTGGTGAGGCATAGATAAGTATGATTACTTCACACTGTATTGTAAAATGTACAAACTTTGGCAACCATGCAATTTACATGATCTATTTATGGAAATAGATGGATTTTATGGGGATTGGGAAAGTATACGTTTGAGGACAAAGACCTCAAGGGTCAAAATCATTTTGTTTGCATTAATTTTTTTATACAAATTAATTTGTTATTCTTCAGGTTTTTTTTTTCTTTTTGCAAGATTTCACAGATGATGACCAAGACTATGTGTACAGCAATAATGAAGAAGATCCCTCGGAGGATGAAGAGGTAGAGAAAGTAGAAGAACAAAAACCCAAAAAAAGATGGTCTGTGGAAGAAAATTCTCTTTTCAAGAGGATTTTCTTCCAGTTCCTGGAAAAAAAAACCATGCCACCAGGATCTACACTGATAGCAGCCCAAAAACATTTGACTTCTAGAAGTGTAGCACAGATAAGAACTAGGGTTCACAATGTCATTAATGGAAAGCAAAAACTGTCATGATAAGTTCTGTAATAAACAGAAAGATTACGGTACATGAAATCTGGATGGGCACTAACTGTACTCCAAGGTCATATTAAATAGGTCATGGCCACAAGTTTTCAAAATTTAATCATTTTCTAACCTCATATATGTAAATTTGTAATGGAGAGACATAGAACCCATACTTCAAATACAGGTTAAGATATCTTTTTTAAATATGATATTTGACGAATGTTATTTGAAAAAAAAATGTTTTAAAAGCTGTATAAAAATAAGAGTAAAATTCCTTTTCAAATTCAAGGCATATATGCAAATTTAAAATTACACCTTTTTTGTAAGCATTTTGCTGCAGGTGGAATTAGCTAGATTACAGTATAATTCAAGTAGTACTATTTTCCTATATAGGGTTTTTAATGAGATGTAAATATAGCAATCTAGTCCTTTAAAAATATTTAATTTAAGTGACAATTATTTTGAGCAATTTTTTTAATGCTTAGAATGATAACTATAACCTTCAGTACCTAATCAATTTCAGTTTTATTCAAATATAGTGATCCTAAAAATTCTTGCTAAAAATGCAGAATTGAATCCTTGCCAAAATTTTTTGCTTATATAGTACATGTATGTTCAGACGATAGACCCAGGTGGATTGAAAGTGGTCATAGCTAGAAAAATTATACATGGGATATTCAAAAGACCATAAAGGCCTGTAGATCTTATATTATAAAATAAAAACATTATATTTCTCTTATTTTGTAGTTTAGCTAGATACTGTACATATGTAGTTTAGTTGTTAGATCACCTGAACCAAAGTCACAAGTGAGCTTTTCTGATCGAAATTTGTCTGTTGTCGTTAACTTTACACATTTTTGATTACTTCTCAAGAACCACCGCGTCAATTTCACCCAAACTTGTCACAAAGTATCTTTGGAAAAATGAGATTCAAATTTGTTCAAATGATGGGTCACACCTTC